AAGAGAGGAGTGAGGATCTCAGACACAAGCAGCACAGCGAATGTGTGGGAATGAAAGCACAAAGTGCTCGTTGTTTAAATGCTTTGAGTGCTCAGGTAGAGCAGAAAGGCGTTTACCTGTCCGCCCTGCAGGCAGACTGTTGCTGACAGTCAGACGAGCACAAACCAAAGTGTTGTGAACGTTAAGAGGCCTGTGAGCTAAATCTTATTTCTACTGTAAGGTAAAACCCTACAATAATACAATGTTCTGTTTGCCAGGTACTGTACTTGGACACCAGGCTTGTAACAACCCCCCAGCCGAAGCCTCAGCATTACCACCTCTGCAGTGTAGACCCGTCCATTATGGAGATGCAGAGGACCTACCCTGACCTGGCCATCAGGGGCCGGCCCCTGCTTCCAGACAAGCCCCACAAAGTCTGCAGCAGCACTAAAGCTGCGAGTGCCGCTGACCTGCCCACAGACTGCGCTGAGGATCCCTGCACTGCTGTTGCACCTGCGCTCATCACCAACGACGACGGCAAAGCTCAGCAAAGTTTGGACGGCAGTCGGAGAGGCGGGAACAGCGGAGGGGCGAGCGCTCCAGGGGACACCGGCGGCGACGCCCACAGAAGCAGAGTGGATGATGAGCTCAGTGGCCCCAAGGCCATTTCCCTCCACATCACACTCAGAGCAGGAGCCACAGCACAGCACGACACTGGTAACACACTCACACACTCACAATACAACAAAATTTGTCATTTGCTCCAAGGGTGCATTTAACTGACACACGCTGGTTTTCACAGGGACACGAGACGAGAGTCCGGTCAAGTCGGAGCTTTCCTCTCTCGGCTCCGTGGATGAGGAGGAGCAGGAGCTGAGAGGGTTGGTGGAGTGGATGGGACAAGCGCGCGTGCAGGAAAATGAACATGAGACAACAAGAAAAGAGGGGGACGACACAAACAAAGACAGGAGGAAGCAAATAAGAAAAGCAAACACAGAAACAAAAAAGAGAAGCCTCAGGAAGCCAGCGGTGGGCAAAGCTTCAGCGCTGAGTCGTGACGACGGCACACACACGAGACCTCAGCAGTGTGACGCGACAGTGACGAACGAGCAGCCCGCCGAGTGTCAGCCCTCGCCTCCAGCCGACACCCAGAGGCAGCGGGAAGGAGATCCGGGCGGTTCTGGAGACGAGGACGCTGGGCCAGCAGAGGAGGAGCAGGTGGCACAGAGCTTTGTTATAGTGGAACAATGCAGAGACTGACGAGCAGGTGGAAACGAGCTGCAGACGATCTCTGAGCCGAGCTGTAAGTGTGCTGCTGGGAGCGTGAATCTTCTTCCTTCTTCACTTTAAAGCTGTTCTGCTGTCCAGCTGCAGAGCGCCACACACATCCACAGTCACGTTCATTTGTCAAAACGACGCTTTCATAGTTTCCGTGTATTTGGGCAGCTTTATGCTGGACGCTGACACAACCTCCACGGCAGTTTTGTCTTCAGCTGGAATTGAACCTGCAACATTTTGAAGGGAATGTGTTAACCGCTAAATCATCGGAGGCGCTCCGAAAAGCCAAACACGTGCGTTACTGCTCGGTGGTCGAGCTAATTAACCAGTATGTCGTGCTATTTACAGCACCCTCATAATCTGACCCCTCCTCACGAACGGCAGCTTTCTGTCTGCGCCGAAAGAGTTTCCAACCATGGAAGTATGTTTACAATGATCAAAGATCTTCTTTCGTGCAAATGAAGCACAGATAGTCTTATCATCATTTTTTATAAACTGTTAACTTGTGATTGTTGTGCCTAAATGACCAAAATCAAAGCTGTATACCTTTGGTATATTATTAAAGCCATATAATGTAATGTAAACTTCTTGAATGCATCAATAAATAATCATGTTTTATTTAAAATAAATGAATAAATTAAAAGAAAATGAAGAGAGCTCATCAATGGGACCCATTTACAGCTCTGGTTGTAACCAGCTGTGCAGCATTTCCTCTATATTTATTTGTGCTGTCTGTGAAAGCAGACTCATTGACTGCTGTCAGAGGTCGATGCATGTAGATGCTATAAGTGTGTGAAGGTCCTCAGTCAGTTGCAGCATCAGTGCAGCGAGGAATGCCCAGACCTCTACAT